AACTTGAGTAGTGTGAAATACACACTTTTCCATCTTGGCGTACAATCCTGCATCTCTGAGTTTTTGTAATACTTGACGAACATGTATTTCATGTTCTTCAACATTCTTAGAATAAATCAGGATATCGTCTAGGTAGCAGACGACAAAATTGTCTAAGAATTCACGAAATACATCATTCATGAGATGTTGAAAAGCAGCTGGTGCATTCGTGAGTCCAAAAGGCATGACATTATATTCAAAATGCCCGTACCTGGTTCGAAACGCAGTCTTCCATTCATCTCCTTTTTTGATCCGTACTAGATTATATGCTCCTCTTAGATCTATTTTTGTATAGATCTTAGCTTGATTTAACTGGTCAAGGAGTCCTGATATCAAAGGTAATGGATACCTGTTCTTGATTGTGATCTTGTTGAGTCCTCGATAGTCAACACACATTCGTAAAGATCCATCTTTTTTCTTTACGAATAAAATTGGAGCTCCTGCTGGAGATTTTGAATGGCGTATGAAATTCTTTGCTAAATTCTCGTCAATATATGTCTTGAGTTCAGCCAACTCATCTTGCGATAAACTGTAAATTGGTCCAAATGGTGGCTGAGTTCCTTCCTTGAGATCGATTGAACAATCGTATGGGCGATGCTCAGGAAGAATATCTGCATTCTTTTTCTCAAAAACGTCTTGATAATCCTGATATTGACTTGGAATGCCACTTGAAGTCTTTACGCTTTCAGAAATAGGTGCAGCATAAATAGCAAAAGTTGATCCTTCTTTTGCTGCGTGTATAAATGCTTTTGCACCTATAGGTGAGAGTTTTACTATACTAGACTCATGGTTTTTTACTTGGTTAATAGAACTGTTACTAATGCTCTGAGGAAAATCAAGTTTACGAGAAATCCAATCTATTCGAGGATTATACTTTTCTAACCATGATAAGCCTAAAATTACTGGATTAGAGGGAGATCTAATTATATTAAAAATTACGCAACTACTATGACCATTTATTAATACATCTACAGGAAGTGTTTCGTGAGTTACATCTCCAGAAGACAACGGACGACCATCTATGACTTCTACGTGTACAGGTTTAGTTTTTTGTATTAATGATATTCTATGACATCTAGCAAATTCTTCATCTAAAAAACAAGATGAGGCTCCTGAATCTACCAAGGCAGAGGCTTTGTAATTATTAGGTCCTAAACGCACATCTATTATAAAACAAGGAGATGGTTTTGAGGAGAGGATAGGACCTTTATTAGAAGTTGTACACGATTCCAGCCGCACGGTCCCTATTGTAGCTAGACGTACTCGTTTTCCGACATACTGTCTTCTTTGACAGCCGTACTCCTCATTTTGTAGTTACGTCGCTTCTTTGGACAATGTTGAGCAGTGTGCTTAGGTTCTCCACAATATAAGCACAATCCTTCTTGTCGACGACGAGACTTTTCTTGCTCAGTAAGAGGTTTGAAACGTACCGCATCAATTTGCATATCCTCTACTTCTGAAGGTATGTGTTGAGGAGACATCGGTGTTGCCATTGAATTGTAGTAACGTTGAGGCCCACTTGTGCGACTCTCGGATCGAAATTCAAAAAGTCGATTGTCGCACTTCACAGCAAAGTCAATTGCTTGACTCAATGTTTGAGGATCAGGTAAATTAAGCATCAATTTCTTTACCTCATATTGTAATCCGTAGAGAAATTGACTCACAAGTGCGGCATCATCCCACTTGATATCAGTTGCAAGTTGTCGAAATTGCGAAGCATATAATGTTACTGATCGATTGCCTTGTCGCAAAATACGGATCTTGTTGGTTGCAACACGAATTGCATCATGTTCTCCAAACATGGATCGAAACTCCGCCAAAAAAGCCTCCAGATTATCCAATATTGGATCTCGTCGTTCAAGAAAAGATGAAAACCATGACAATGCTGAACCTGAAAGAAGTGTACCAATGAATCTTACTTGTGACCCTGGAGTTGGATAGCTCTGGGGTTGAAGTTCAATCACTAGTTGGACCTGATTGATGAATCCTCGAAACTTGGATCTGGTACCATCAAACTTCTCGGGCAAGGCAACTCTCGGTTCTCTAACACTCGAAGGGTGTTCCATTCTGGGAGAAGGGACATGGTTTAGTGCAGATGTTGAAGCAGCCCCAATCATCTCTATATCTTCACTTCCTACCATTCTTGTTGCTCCTTGTGGTGGTAAATTGAGTTGATGCATCGCAAGCATTAACTCCCTCAATTGTTCTTGCATCTGTGCCATTGCACTCTTCATTTCAACAAGCTCTGCCATAGTAGCACTTAGAAAAGAGAAGATGTCTAACAACGCTCAAAACAAATAGAAAAGAGGAATTGATAACAAAGAAAATACTAAGAACAATATCAGTTTAAAAGAGGGTAATCCGCAACTTCTAATGCGCTTATGTCTTATCAAGAAAAAGGGGTAATCCACTCTTAATCAAGAAAAGACAAAGCTCTGATATTGTAAGTGTACTCTTGTCAATCTGTCAAGGACAAAGACTCGATGAGAGAAAATATACACAAAAAGGCTATCTCGATATAATAAGTCAAAATATAAACAAGTAGGTATATTAAAAGGAAACTGGAATGGCTATTGCCACAAGACAAGAAACTAAAGACTCTTGAATCTAGACTAGAAGCAAGAAAGGAGTTGACAAGAGTGAAGAGGGCTTCACTCTTGCCTCTATATATACTATCTAACTAGAAGCCACGTGGCGATGTTCTATAAGACCTCCAATATATGTTGACTTTCTAGGCCACATGCCTTTGCTTGCAAGGCAAGTTTTCTATGGATGGACCACGTAGTTAGCTTGTTCTTTAAGCTTCCAACATGCGTGGCACATGGCTAACTTGTTGACCAAGTTTCTAACCTAAAAGTCAACAATAGACTCCTATAAAGTCAAAGCAGCGTCTATGAAGCTTCTAAGAAGCTTCTCTAGAAGATATTACACAATTAACCTACTTTTACATACTTTTATCTATTCATATAGGTAATTATATGTATGTCCGTGACATGGACACATAAAAGTCGTGCAAAATGAATAGCAGGTCACAATCATAAAATGTTGCATTCATATGATTTATATTTAATAATGTATATAAAATCAATAGAAACAAGTGAATATAATCATTTTCTTTTTCTTCTCTAATATTCAGTTATGGGTCAACAATGCTACTCTCAGATGTATGTGTTTGTTTATATATATATATATAGATAGATATATATATATTTTCTTGTAGCATGTTTGAATTTTCAAACTAACATGATTTACTCTTAACCATTAAATATAAAACAATATTAAATAGAAATACAATATTTTCTTAGAAGCAACTTTTCTTGAAACATTCCACAAGGTTGAGCCGTATGTCAAACTTTGCATACTCTCAATAGAATATTCTGTAAGATCCCATATTTTTTTATAAAAATAACAAAGAAAAAAGAAAAAAGAAAAAAACTAGACAACGTTGTGACAACGTTCAGAGGCACTCAACGGTTGGGGTGATACAACCATGCATATACTGTAGAAAACAATTCCTTTATTCAAGGCGTACGAAACAAAGATAAAACATTCCAACCAATAAGTGGTATCAGATGAGAAAAAACACATTTTAATAAACATAGAGTGGAAAATGAATCCACATGCGAAATCTTGCAATGGTGCTCTTGATCAGAGCAGGTCAAGGGCGGCTACCGCTTCCATCGGAATGTCTATAAAAGCAGGAAAGCTCCAAAAATGGAACAGAACATCTCATTAAACTGGAATGCCAGCTGACAGCGCATTAGGAACGTGCGTGGCCTCATTTGTGGACTACTGAGTCCACCTCACGGAACTGGTGGATAAAAACCAGTCAATAATCAACGCTCTATGCAATCAACCCGATTTTTAACACCCTATAATTGGCTGCTCATAGTGTTGTTTATGGAGCAAAGAACTTGATTACTGCTAACCTTGTGATATTAATACATGAATTTGTCTGTTTTAGTTCAGCTAGGTTGTCAGTGTGTACTAGCGGCCTGTTTTCTGCGCTCTTCGGTGCAGCTGTAAGAGTAACTCCATTATTATGCGTGATTGCCCTCTTCCTTTTTCCCGCAGAGCTCATCGCATCTTTGGCTTTAGCTGGCTGAGTTCCATGCTCACTTTGTCCCGGATGACACCTCCTTGTTCCCTCAAGGATGAATTTTCACGGATCCTTTCTAAAAGCCGATTTGCAACTTTGTGGTAGGTACGTGGATTTTTCGCTACGTGGTGTATGGAGGGTAAGTTTCTGATGAGCTTCTGAATACAACCGGTCAAGTTCACTTAGCAGAACAGTGTTTTATCAGTCATAAATAAAGTTGACTAAGTTGTGTTCGGGCAAATATCATACAGAAAATACTTACTGACCAGAGATTTAGGGGTACACGACTCCGGCATCATGTACCCCTTGTGGAATCCTCCAAGGTTAATCTTCTGTAAGTTAATGCACCGAACCGAGTTCTTTCATGGAATTAGTGTGAATGAATCCAAGGTAAGGACAGTTACTCTCAGCATTACAAAATCAGAGTCCACTGAAAAACTTGTTTGTGTCAGTCCTTTTCCCCGTCCTTGACAGAAGCTTTCGAGGGTTTCTTCCAACGTCAGAAGTAAACGAAAGTAAAAAGTGCTGTTCGTTGTGGATATTTGATTATTCCATTTGCATTATAATAACTGGAGGACCTCAGTGCACGATGCTCGCACAAACCTTTCATTCTTTCAACGAGGAACTTGACCCCAGTCGCAAGGATCAACGGCGTTCTATCCTGCTAACAACGCGACTAACTTAGCAGGCCCCACCAAGTTGTCTCTGTCGGAAGCATACCCAGACCCCTAACCTCAGCTATCCAGCACCAAGTTAGCGGTAGGAAGGTCCATGCAAATCCACGGTAAGGACGCGACCAGGTGGCGCCTTCTTTTGCGCCTGCACAGAGCAGGAGGAGGAGCTAGCAAAGCTGGCAGTCGACTCATATCGGGCACATCTGCAGCCACCTTACAAAGTGGCGAATCCAAAGTTCCCCGTGGACCCATTCCTCGGTCTTTCTTCACCCTGTCCATGCTCTGTTGTGGTTGTTCATAGATCTGACTACAGAGTCTAGCATTGCGGTATTCCATTGGATTGCCAGCAGTGGTGTGCTTGGGGGTGCCCCTTTTGCAGCAAATGCGTTGAAAGTGATCCTCGGATCCGATTCCGATATTTTGTTGTTTCTAGCGTTGCCCTCCCCCTGCAGTTGGTACTCAGTGGATCTATTGGACTGCTGTTTTGCTTCGACCTGTTGCTGTTGTCGACGCATACTAACTGGGCTACACGTTCCTGATATGAGGTACTGTCTGGAGTTGTTTGCGAAAGGGGTTTCAGCTAGCTTCGAGTGTGGTTGGCTTTGAGGTGTGGATCTGGTGGCAGTTGTGGTGTGGGCTAGTACCGGGAGGTAAAGGTGGATTGGGAAGATCTAACTATGGGAGGGTATTGGCGAATTTGAGTTCGTCGAGTTGATCGGGCTTTGTGCGAGGCCCTGTTGAAGGGGGAAGGTTAATTGCAGCCAGCCGAGGGTGCGTGGTGGACGATGAGGATTGCTATGGCGAACCAGTGCGGGGTCGTGGCTCTGTCCGCTGTTTTGTTATTTCTGCCGCTGCTAGGTAAGTTTGGTACTGATTTTTGTTCAATTAATCTTCATATTTAATTGCTTCAACAGTTCGAGTGATGCTCGTCGGAGAAGATATCTGGGTTCCATTTGTTACAACAGAGTAATGCAACCTTCTTTTCTATACTAATAGTTGAATTTATTTCCCTTTCAGAGAGCAATGAGTGAAAGGATACACTTGGAATCTGTTTACATCTTCTTGCAGCACTTGATTCGTTTCTGTAAAGCAGAGTTACTGCTGCCCGAATTTCCCAATTAGGTCCTAGATGCAAACGTCAGGTAGAGGATCTACAGGGACAATCGTATCCCTGTAGATGCTTTGAGGGAGTAGCTACTTCTACCTGAATAATAGCTCTAGAAAAAGGACCAAATCTGATCAAGTGGAAGTGAAGTTGAGACTTAAAGACTCTTAGGACCTCATTCATAGCTTGTTCTCTTCAATTTACTTCTAAACGGACTCCAAATTCGGTTCCTCGAGACTTTTCCTGTTCAATTGGGCTCATCCAACGTGGGTGTGTGTGTTTTCAGGAGTCGCACTGGGAGAGCGCTCAGAGACAGACTTAACTTTTGATGTCTCTATGATAACCTTAGACAAGCAGTCGTATAACTACAGGGCCCAAGAACGTAAGCTCGCAACTTCGTTTGTCTGGTGCATTGCCAAGACTAATGTCTCCGATACAGACCTGCAATCTTCACTGGATTGGGCTTGCGGACCTGGAACAGACCAAGGTCAAGTAAATTGCGGCCCAGTTCAAGTTGGTGGTTCTTGCTATGACCCCAACACTTTGTATAACCACGCCAGCTGGGCTTTCAATGCATACTTCCAGAGGATGAACGCAATCGACGAAGCTTGTGTTTTCGCCGGCACTGCTCAAAAAACCACCGTCGACCCAAGTGAGAGGATTTCTTACTTCAATCTTCTTGTTTTGTTAGATGATCCTGCTGGTTTGCTCCGGTTTATGCCTCTCCGGGGTGATCATATTCTTTGCATTAATTCTCAATTTTCAATGGCTTTAGCATACACGAGGGAAATATTTGCAGGGTTTCAATATATGGCATATGCCATTGCGAGATAGATCCAGTGAAGAATGTTCCAAATCTAGTAATGATTGACTGTTATTGTGTTGGCCGGAACAGGTACTGGAACTTGCATTTTTCCAGGATCAAATGTGTAAGTCTCTTCACAAGTTTTTTTTTTTTCTTTTTCTTTTTTTTTTTTTGTCTTTCTTTCTTTCTTTCTTTCTCTACACTCTTGTATTAGAATTGGTGTAGGGTGCTCATTTAGGTTTGATCTTCTCCAGTTTTTGTTCAAGAATGTTGACTCTTAATCTCATCTAGGGGCTTTTTATCCTGTCTGCAGAACCACGAATGGGAATTTGACTGGAAATGGAACTTTCGCACCTGCCAATTCTCCTGGGGGAGCCCCTGGATCGTTAGGGAGTCCCTCGGCAGCTACGGCAGGGTTTGAACCACGATACTTCTTACGCGCGTCCACTGCAGTCACTCTTCTTACATATCTCTTCTTATGACAAGACTTGCCGCATCGTGTTGACGAAGTCAGCTATTGATCTAGAGGGCCAGTGTGAAGAAGCTAACTAGTCGTCCTTGTTGCCTACACTCAACCGCACTGTATACCAACAATTTTGCCTCATTGTAAGCAATGTGGTGTCTTCTGGCAACTCCAATCACAGCAGGTCTCTGGAGCATCTATGAACTCCTCTAGAGGAGGAGAATTTGTTGTCTGATTGTAGGATAGTGGCGGACAGATGCACCAATGTAAGCAATGTGCCACCTGAACCTTCGTACGCATGTATGTACTAGACTTGATGTTGAGTGAACGCCGTTCAGACTTGTTGGATCAGATCCGCAATTGTTCACACTCTTTGGTAAAATGAATAAATCCACATCTGCCATTTTTTTGACAATCTCATACACGCCATCACGCAACCTCCAACAATACTCAGCACTCTTCTCATAATGAGAGAGTGGATCAACTTCGGGTTGGATCTGTTCCCGACTTTGTTACTTTTCTTTTCATTTTTGGACTTTGTTTTTGTTTTTCGGGGTCTTCTTTCTGGTGTAAGCCATTGACACGTATTACGTTCCCCTACTCCCTCTATCTTTTTCGCTTTTTGTCAACCTTATCTCGTCTATCTTAGAACTTAACCAACGTCACGTATACACAGTCTTCCATGGTACGTTGTGAGTCAATTGTGATTGAAGGATATTGGGACACTTCACAGATCTCATCCTGCTACGTGATAGTTGAAATTAATTGACTTCAGCCTTGAAGTAATATAAACGGACAGCTGGATGAATTCTTTCTTATATTCTGGATAGTTTCTTGTATGATGTACAATAGCAATCCGAATCTAGCGTTGTGTCAGTACAGACAAGAGGAAAGGTTGAAGTGGAGTCGGTTGATTCCAATAGAGTAAGAGTGTTGACATTGTTTCATATCTGACCTTGGGGAGAAAAAGAATAAAAAGTACGTAAGTAATCACTAATCACGTCTTTTTGTTTATATTCCTCATTAGTCAACTAATTCGTCACCACCTGCAGCAGTACATTATGTCGTATGCTACTGGTCATAATCCACTACAGGTTGTGTTAAGTATGGTACATGAAATGTGTTGGTACTTGGCCGTGTAACTGAGACTTGGAATTTGGCTCTGCTGCTAATAGGGAGGGTGGAGCAGCAGCCGCCTTTACGGTTGCTTGTCAATGACGAGGACACTGCGGATTGTTCTTCTTCTTTTTATTTCCCAATTTTAACATTTAAGGGCATTTAACTTAGAGAATGCTTAGTAGAAAAAAGTTTGGAGAGTGTAATAGTCAATGAGAGTGAGAAAATTCTATACTCCTCTAGAAAATGTAACTTGTTAAGAGAAGAAAAGGAAGATTAGCTTAATTATAAGAAAAAAGCATGAATTGACATCATAAGTGGGCAGAGAGTATAAGGGCTCCATCTCTTCTTTTTTTATTGAGTATAAGAAAAAAATAGTCATTGATAAAAGTTAGAAGAAAATATTATGTTCTTTTATTAGAAATTACAATTTTTATATCAAGAGCATCAAATCAATTGATTGGTAGATTAGAAACTTGGTTAGTAAGCTATCTATGTGCCACATGTGTTAGTAGCTTGCGGAACAAGCTAATTATGTAGCGGCTATATAAAAAACATGCCTTGCAAGTCAAGATATGTATCATGCAAAGTCAAAACGTTCTTGGAGGTCATATAGAATGTTGCTACATAGATCCTAGGTAGATAGTATATATAGAGGCAAGAGTGAAGCCTTCTTCACTCTTGTCAACTCCTTTCTTACTTCTAGTCTAGATTCAAGAGTCTCTAGTTTCCTTGTCTTTTAATAATAATCATTCCAATTTCTTTTTAACATATATATGTTTCTTTATTTCTATTTTATCACTTTTCTTTTGATACGGATTTTTTAAGTTTATGCATCTTCTTCTAGTTCATGTCCTTGATGTGTAATTAACTCAAAAAGTAATTAGTAACTATTAATTAGAATAAAAAATCTAATCACAAGTATAAAGAGAATAATTTTTATTTTTTATAATTTTCTATAAATTACGTATTAATTTTTGTTTAAAACTAATATTAATATATAGTCTTAAAAGCCTTGGAATTAATTAAATAATTATATATAGATATTTTATTTCTTTTATTAAATATTATTATTAAAATTATAATAAAAAATTATTATTTATAATATTTAAGACTTTAAAATAGTCTTAAGTAAAAAAAGAAAAATTAAGTAAAATAATAATGAATACAAATAGTTAAGGTTTGGATTTTTTATACTCTTTAAAAATAATAGAAAAGCTTTTGATATATATTATTTTTCTAATATTCACATATTTAATCTATTAAAGAATAATTTTTTTAAAAGATCAATTAACTAAATTTTATTACATAGATTATAAATATTAATAGCTAATTAGAAAAAAAATCATCTATCTAAAATCCTCTACATAGATATAAGTACAAATATTAGATAGACCTTTGAACTTTTAAATGTCATAGATATATACATTTATTCCAATAGTTACTTATATGATTAGATCAAAGTAGATAAATATAGATTAATTTCATAAAGTCTTCTACAAAAGCTTCCTAGAAGCTTCATAGATGAGGTTTTGACTTTAGATGTATTTGTAAGTTAGAAACTTGGCTAACAACTTAACCATATGTTGGTAGCTTGTGGAACAAGTTAACTCCATATAATAACTTATCGAACAAGCTAAGTATGTGGCGCATGCATAGATAACTTGCCTTGTAAGTTAAAACACGTGGCTAGCAAAGTCAATACGTTTTGGAGGTTCTATAGGACATTGCCATATAGCTCCTAATTAAGAGTATATATGGAGGCAAGACTGAAGCCTTCTTCACTCTTGTCAATGTCTTTCTAGTCTTTAGTGTTGTTTCAAGACTTTCTAATCTTCTTGTGTTTGGCATTAGCCATTCTAGTTGAATATTACATCACCTTTTGAGTAACTTTCTAGTTCTCTTCAGTGACACATGAGTGTATTGAGGACTTTTTTTCTTTGAAATTGAAGTACTTAACAATTTGACAAGAATGCTAACATAATATTTGTCTTTTTTTAGAAGTGAGTGGATTATTCTACTTCTATTGTTGTATTTTGAAGGTTGTATACTACCCATCTTTGAACTAAAAATCTTATTTTCTAATATTGAACTTTTTCTTAAAGATAGTGGATTATCCCTCTTTATAGAATTTTTCCTTAAAGAGAGTGGATTATCCCTCTTTGTAGAAATTTTTATTAGAAGTTGTGGATTACCTTCTTTTGATTTAACTTTTTGGATTTATTTGAGTTATTTACGGAAGGAAAGATTATGGATATTACTTCTAGGGGAAGTCAAAATAGATTTGCAACTATTGCGGATCTTCATGAGCTTGTCAACACTCTTAGGGCAGAAATTTTACACATCATCAACATCAACGATGAAAGCACTACTTTTATTTAAATGAAAGAAGTTCAAAGTCTATATTAAGAAGTTATACAGTTGAAGGAAACAAATCGATCAACCTTACAACCAAATTCAAGGGATCTTACTTCTACAAGCTTAAGAGAGATAAGAATTAATATGCCTGAGAAGTTTGATGGAACAAGATCAAAAATTTGAGGGTTTTTACAATAAGTTAAGTTCTACTTAAGGTTAAATCTTTTCCAATTCGTGGATGGATTTACTCAAGTCAACTTCATAGACACACCTCTATTTGGAAGTACTCTTTCTTGATTTATAGCTTTGATGGAAAAAGATTTGTGACTTTTTTATGATTTAAATTTATTCTTAGAAGTATTTATGGCCACATTCAAAGAAAGTGATTGAGAATGAGTAATAGAGACCAAACTCTTATCTTTACAACAAGAATCACGATCAGCCACGACATTTGTTGCTGAATTCCAAAACCTTGCTTGGGACATAGACTAGAATGATAAAATACTTATTAATCAATTTTGATATGGATTGAAGGATAGCATCAAAGATTTGTTATTAATAATGCCAAAAGTAGAATCTTTAAAATAATTTATTGCTCAAGCGATTACATGCAACAATCAATTATTTGAAAGGCGTCAAGAACAAAAACTTGGTTGGAGAAGAATAAGTCAAGTAATGGCGGTAGCCCCTAAGTTTTCTAAAAAATATTCATCAAAGGTGAAACCAATGCAAATTGATACAATACTTTTTAAACCTTTCACAAAGTAGGAAACAACTTGACAACACCAAGAAGATTTGTGTTTATATTGTAGAGAAGCTAAATACATTGCTCAATATTACCTAAAGAACCAACACAATTACAAAATGAGGAGCACAATTACCAAAGAAGATAATGTATCAAAAAACAAATTTCTCTAATTACAATAGGGACCGTGTGGCTAGAACCATGTGCAATATCTAGTAAAGGTCTTATTTTCTCCTCAAATCCCTCACCTTATTTTATAATAGATGTATTTTTAGGACCTAAAAATCACAAAGTTTTTTCCTTATTAGATTCAAGAGCCTCAACCTATTTTATAGACGAAGATTTTGTCAAAAATCAAAAAATATTTTAAGTCAAGAAAACTAAATCTGTACATATAGAAGTCAAGATGGTCATTTGTTGTGTTCTGAAAATGTTACGTATGAGACTATTTCTTTAGATATAGTAATTAAAGATCATAATAGCATACTAATATTTAATGTAATAAGATCTTCTTCCAATTCAATTATTTTAGGATTATTGTAGTGAGAAAAATATAATCCTCAAATACATTAGATTTCTCATAACTTTAACTTTTTTGGTAGTATAATCCAAGATCATATTAGTGAAGTAGAAGTACATAAGTCTAATACGTCCAAACCTTTACTAGTAGGTGCAAAAGCTTTCATGCATGCTGCAAAAGAAGAATCATCTTATATTCATTGTCTAGTGGTATTCCTAGCTAATATCAAGAATTCCAAGATGTTTTTGAAAAAAAAAATATAAATATTCTTTCAAAGCATTGATCTTATAATTTTTCAATTGATCTACAAGAAAGAGCTCAACCACCATTTGGACCAATTTATAGCTTATCACAAAATGAATTAGTTGTATTAAAGGACTATATTAATAAAAACTTGAAAAAGAACTTTATATGCCATTTAAATTCTTCAGCCAGGCTCTTATATTTTTTGTAAAGAAAAAAGAGTGATCTTTGCAGATGTGTGTGGATTATCGAGGATTCAATAAGATCACCATCAAAAATAGATATCTTTTGCTTTTGATTTTATGACTTCTTGACCAACTCAATCAAGCAAAGATCTATACCAAAATAGATCTATAAGAAGCATATAGCTTAGTTTGTATCAAAAAAAGAGATAAATGAAAGACTGCTTTTCAAACTAGGTATGGGTATATTGAATAT